CCCAGGAGCTCTGGTCAGTGCTGGCTCCCAGCTGAGAAACACATCGGAATGCCCAGGCTCGGCTCTGCTCCCCTTGGTGTCCTGCAGCCCACATCCCTTGGTTTCAACTGCAAAGGACCATAGGAGCTGCCAGCAAGGCTGAGCAGGGGCCAGGCCCCGAGGGTTCCTGGAGAGTTACTGGGTGGAACCCATCGCAGAGCAGCAAATGCTGCTGCCTGGGGTCCTGTTGAGCCCAACTGCATTTTCAGTAGCCCAGCAACAGGTTAACTCCGTTTCTGATTTGCCTGCCATTCAATCACCTGCAGAAGTGGATTTGAGTGTGATGTGAGGTTGTCAATTTACAGCACCATGAAGGAAACAGTTTTCTGGTGTAGCTAAGGAAAGCTGGGCAGGTGGACATAGCGCTCACTGCTGCAGAAAAGCCTCAGCACCCACCACACTCGAGAGCAGGGAGACGTTCTCAAGTCCGCCATGTGTCATCGCTGTGCATAGCTCCCCTGTGGGCAGCAAGCTGGTCCCCAGAACAAGGGCTCTCTTACTGCCCAGTCCTCTCACTGGTGGGTGCTTGGTGACGTCCATAGACACATGCCTCTGCTCCATCAGAAAGCTGTCCAGAGGCTCAGCATCATCAGTAGACTCCCAGGCATGGACATGCCGTGTAGGGTCGGCCAAGCTCCGCCCCCTCCCCCAGGTGTGAGATCTCAGGAAGCCAGGGAGAAGTGCGCATGAGCCTCGTGTCCATGGTGCTCTTCCAGGGCAGTGGAGGGAACAGCAAATGAAAACAGCGACGGGTTTCCCCGGGCAGTTCCCCAAGTGTCTGAGTGGATCTGGGCCGCTCTGGAGAAACCTGTTTAAGGCTGTACCTAACCAGTGGCACAGATTTGCCCGGGCTTGTGGCGAGGAGGGTATGTGCCCCGCCCTGGCACAGGAAGGCCGAAGAGCCTCCCCGTAAACCAGTGGCACTTTGCACTTGAAGGAAGCAGGTTGTTCTTATGCTCACTGAAGATGAAACAGATGCTTTTCTCTTTTGCTTTTTCCAGTGCTAATGTTTGAAAACAAGGCCTCTGCATGGAACGATATCTCGGGAACATTTTAGTTTTTATTTTAAGGCTTGCTGAATTACTAAGTGGCCCAAATTGTGCTCAAACTTACATTTCTCCTGTCTCAGCCTCCCAGAGTGCTGGGGTTGCAGGCATGGGCGACTAGGTCCAGCTTCTGAAGAAAAAGGATAAAAAGACAGATGCTAGTTCAGCCCTAAATGTCTCAGGATAAAACACAGAAAACTTCCCTTACTTCATGTGCCTGGATCTGCCACAAAATCTAAGTGCAACAGAGTGAGCTTAATCTCAGAAAGCACCATGCTAAGATGGGCCTTCCACAGCCCTGCACTCGCAGCTGCATGAAGCTCGGAGTCAGGCAGGACGGCCCCTAGAAACAGGTCAGAACAGGGCCGCTCGGCATGCACGATGAGTGGGCAAGCTGCCAGCGGGTCCTCTCCAGGACGGGACTTCAGGCCTGAAGACATTCACAGGGACCACAAAGGTTTCACCGGCCCAGGCTGAGTGGGATCTACTGCAGCCACCAAGCGCTCATGCTGACCAGCAGTCGGGCGTACCAAGTGCCTTGCTGTGAGACACACCCAAGCCAGATGGGAGATTAACAGACAGGAGACGAAGTAAGCGCAGTGAACGGCAAGTCCCCGGAACAACTCCTCTGGCTTTCTGGACGTTGGTAAAGCTCTGTTGTAAAACCCGAAAGCAAAAGGATCAGTGCTCTGTAGATTGGAGTTGTGTGACCTTCTGTCCCTGCCTCAGTGGAACTTGCCTCCAGCTCTGCGGGAGTTCTGGAGCAAACAGCAAGCACCACATGTGTGGCTCTGGACACCAAGACGAGCTGTCTGCTTTTCAAGTAAATAGGCCTAAAATAATATCAAGATTATGGCCAAATACATTACTTAGGTACAAAGTCCTATTTGAGTATTACTGTGAAATTCTTGAAGTACAAGACGTTCCTTCCCCTTTCTTTTTATATTTTCTGATCTGACAGATGCGCCTGTGTGGCAGAGTGGCTGCACTCGAAGGCTAACATTTAGAATGGCTCCATGTGAGTCCAAGCATCTGCCTTTAGACACAACAGAGTGGTGTGCCTTAGCCAAGGTCCCCTAACATTTGGTGAGTGATGTTATATCACTGCCCACCTCTCAACAGCTAAATAAAGGGCCTGTCATCCTCTCCAATATCCTGCTTGATAAATACCTGGCTCAGAGGTGATTAAAGGTCACACTATGAGGAAGTGCACAGCTGCTCCTGGCTTAATGAAAATCTCCTGCTTTGGGCAATTTTGTCTTAAATCTGAATAGTTTGTGATCATTTTTAAAACAATCTCATTTGTATCAATGGTCACATTTAAGTTTCTTCATGCTGTATAGATATAACAACGGGTGTCATATTACAAAGATTAAACCTTGCTTTGAGGAGGGGTTCTAAGCCAGCCTCTTCTTAAGGCTCTGAGATGCAGCCGGGGCTTTGTGCTCACGAGCCACGGCCTCTTCCTCTGAGTTGCACTTTTGCCCACAGCAGCCAGGCCTGACGAGCACCAAGATCTCACTCACTGATGGGCCTCTCCTCTGGGGAGATGCGTGTCTCAGCAGCAGCCTTCAGTAGCCTCCTGTGCTGCCCCCTGAGAGCTCCGGGCTATGGCTAAGATGGGATCTGCCTCCATCGTCTTCACATTCCTTCTTCCCTGTCATCTAGACGGATTGCTGAAAGCCACACGTTTTGGCTTCTTTGCAATTTTTTGTTCACCATTATGGAAAAAGTAAACAATGAACAACATCCAGCATGCAGCTCTTTCTATATTTATGTCTGTTTCCTCCAAATAAGTTTACTGAAATGGAATCACAATAGGAGGTTCAAGCACATTCATCCGTTTCCACAAGTTGTTGTCCACTTGCTTTCAGCATGTGCTCTGACTTAGCATTCCCACCAGTGGTGTGAGGGTTTCTATTCTATTCCAAAACAGGACTATTTTTTCCTCGTGTAAGAGTGATTCATCCTAACTTTAGACAGTTGGATGTACATGTTCAGAAAGAGTATGTTAGGTGCTCGGTGGGGGTTTTTAATACGTGAATGAAAGAACAAATTCAGTCTTAAAATTAGTTTTGTGACACACTGATCTTAAACAGCACATTTCACTGACATTTGCTTACTTATTGGTTTGACAAGGAAAAGTTCTTAGTTCAATGGAGAGAACCCTGCAAGATGTTCTGTGGGTCACTTGCAGTCAGAGCACCAGTCAGAAGCCTGCGCCACGCAGGTGCCAGCAGAGCCCGCTCTCCTGCTGACACCAAGCCAGGACATGGTGACCTGGGCCACTGCCGCATAGTTAGGTGAGAGGGGAGCTCGCTGTGTGTCAGCTAGGAAGGCAGCATTGCTCCGCCACACATCCCTGAGAAGTCACATGCTGTTTTCAGATCATGCCTACAGCCTGCTGTCATCTTTGAGCACCTAACCTGTTCTTGGCGCTGTGAGGCCAGCCCCTCCCAGTCCTATCTGTGTGCACGGAGCAGTTCTAGGACCGCTCTTCCTTGAAGTTGCTAACCACAGACTTCGGGTCAGCAATGATGGAAAGAATTATGGGACCTCTCTGCCTGTGCAGACATGGACTCTATGTTGTCAACATCCCCAGGTTCTGTCTCCTTCTGACTTTGAACAAGAGCCCAAAAGGGAAGAAAGGGTAATCTCCCCAGAGTTAAAGAGGGTGTGAAGACTGCCTGTGGTTCATGTTATGCAGACTGGGCCATGTCTGAGCTTGTGCCACTGCCCTGGCTCTTCCATGCACATGCAGACATGATGTGGGCAGAGCAGTTACGGGGAGGGAGAAGGGAAGCCTGTAAAATCCCAGCACACCTTTTGAAGCGGTACCCAGGGGTGTGCCAGAGGAGTGTTTATTTGGCCTGTCTTTGTGCACTATGACCTGACTCCTATGTTTGTCTTACACCAACTCTGGGGACAAAAGGACCTGGACTGGTCACCTCCAGAGCCAGGGGCCACTCTTCTTCACTCTGATTCTAATTTGGGTTCAAAGTGTGAGCCCTTAACAGGCTCCCTGCTTCAGAAGCCCCAAGCATCTTGGTTTCAGTCCCATCTCTGATGAGCCAGGACTGTACATACCAGTTGACGGCAATCTCTCTTCTTTGTTGTCATGTAGCCTGCCTAACACTTGTCCACCACTCACCTTTAGCCCCTGGTGAAATGTCTCCTTGGATTATATCTGATGTCTTGAAACATCAGGAAGTGTTGCCGGGGTTATGTGGCTCCAGGTGACATGGGTGACACGTGCTGGACAGACGGAGAGATGTGCTGGCCTCTCGTGAACTTGGTGTTTAAGCATCATGCTTTTGAATACACTGACTACTCCATAATTAGGCCTTTGCTTTGTTCTTCAACGTAAGTGCTAGAGGGATATTTTAAATCCTCCTAAAGCTGGGTTTTTCAATTACACAGTTGTCGTTGATTTTAGGTGAACAATTTGTGGTTGGAAAATATTAAATGTACAGTGCATGCTGTGTTCATAAACATTCCTTATATGATAATGTGGCATGCTGCACGGCAAAGCAGTGTTCTCTGCATCAGTATTACCGCGGCCCCGTAATTATGTAACCTCCACACTTCCTATTTGCTGTTCATTGATCAGGGATCCTGTAGACTTGTGCTTTCTTAGACACTTTCCAAGACCTTTTATCTATCCTCCCTGGAATTCTTACTGTTTTCCCTTTATGTATTTTAATGTAATGTAATTCCATACACATAAAGGTAATCTTCCTCTTATTTTCAATTACACCTAATATAAACTTAGTCCTTTATCTCATTGGCCTTAACATGTCCTTTGATCAAAGTTAACACTATGAGTCACTGTAACTCACAAAGTCAGTGGATGCTGCTTTCTTTTGGTTTTGCCACTTGGCACTTCACAGGCTCTGTCTTGTCCCTTTGTTCCAGTTTGCCAAGGCACAAGCAACAAGCTCACACAGTTGGGCACCTTTGAAGACCACTTCCTGAGCCTCCAGCGGATGTTCAACAACTGCGAGGTGGTGCTTGGAAATCTGGAGATCACCTACGTGCAGAGGAACTATGACCTTTCCTTCCTGAAGGTCAGTGTCGTGGGTCTGGCTGCCCAAAAGCGACAGAAGTAGATAAGAGCGAGAAGGTGCTGCCAGAAAGTAGCTCGAGCCGTGCTCGCTCTTCTGTGCCTGCGACAGTCTGAAGGGAGGCACAGTGGAGTGCCTCCTGAGCATGTGTCCCTGGCCAGGGCTAGTCAGAGTTGGAGAAGTGCGGAGGGCCCGGGGCTGGGGTGGCGCGCTGGGTCTCCACTAGCGCACTGTGCTGGCACACTCACTTTGAGAAGGACAGTGGCGAAGTCTGTGTGAGCTGGGCCTTGTCACCTGTGCCTGCAGTGTACATCCTTGACACTAAATCACCAGCGTTTATAGCTGGCTCTTGAGTTCCGGCCTGTCTGAACACAGGTCCAAGTACTGTCAGTGGGGGCAGTACCTGGACTGGACCTGCTGGTCTTTTCTGGCTGGCTTTCCCCCGCTTCCCTGCCTCTTTCCACCTTTTCCCTCCCCTACTCCCTCCCCCCTTTTATTTTTCATCTGTGCTTCTAAGCCATTGCCTCCTTGCTGCAAAAGCACAATTGTCACAAAACTGTCACATACCCTTCCGTCAATGCCCCCCCATGTTAGTCTACGTTTGTGACCATGTGTGATGGCACAGGCAGGTGGCCTGGGCCACTGGAACACAGTAGGCCTGGAGCCCTGGAGCCTGTCACGCATAACGGTGTTGTCACGCTGTGTCCTCAGACCATTCAGGAGGTGGCCGGCTATGTGCTCATTGCCCTCAACACAGCAGAGAGGATCCCGCTGGAGAGTCTACAGATCGTGCGTGGGAATGTGCTCTACGAGAACACCTATGCCCTGGCGGTGCTGTCCAACTACGGCAGCGCCAACAGCCCCAACAGAACAGGGCTACGGGAACTGCCTCTGCGGAGCCTGCAGGGTGAGCCGTGTGTGAAGGAGCAGGCTGGGGCCCCACATCTGTGAGTGCCACCTGCGTGCCAGCCCCTTGTGGGAGCTGTGCACACAGGACAGGGCTCCAGTATCTCCAGAGACATGGGCTGAGAGGTGGTCAGAAGGACAGCAGAGGTGGTCCCCAGGGACACAACACAGGACCCCGTGGTGGCACCAGACCTCACACACCGTCTTGCTCCCTGTACTCTTTCTATGATAGCATGACTGATAAGTGAGGCGCAGTAAGAGGAGAACAGAAGTGAAAGCGACACGCGACCCTAACCACCCACTGCGGTGTGTGGTCTATGAACATAGTCTTCAGCGTGGCTCCATTTGACATTGTCGTTGGTGATCAACACTACAGGAAGAAAAGCCAACAAGGGTGTTGTTGGGCCTACAGGCCCTGCCCACATGGGGGCTGGTGTCCTGAGTTGGGCTGTGCTCAGAAAAGCAGGACAAGGCAGGAAAGCTTCCTGGAGAAGGGGCATTGTGCAGAGAAGGCCAGAGGGAGGCTCCTGTGGGAGGACATCAGGCATTGGCAAAGAGAAGGAGGCACCTGATTTCCTTTTATGTGTGTGTGGCGCTGTGTGTAGAGCCCAGGGCCTTCGCACTGGGCTGCGTGTGCAGTCCTTGTTACGTGTGTGTGGCACTGTGTGTAGAGCCCAGGGCCTTCGGACTGGCCTGCGTGTGCAGTCCTTGTTATGTGTGTGTGGTGCTGTGTGGAGCCCAGGGCCTTCACACTGGGCTGTGTGTGCAGTCCTTGTTACATGGGTGTGGCGCTGTGTGTAGAGCCCAGGGCCTTCACACTGGGCTGC